GAGACCATCCTTCAAAAGCCGCCATGAGCATCATGAGCCAAAAAAAAAGATGCGCTATTTTTTCGGCGTGTTTGATCGTTTTTGGGCTGTTCTTTCGGCTCCCGAAGCTAGGGGAACGGGTGAGTCCGTGGCTTTGGATCGTTCGATCAGTTGGGTGAGGATGGATGTCGCTGTGATGGGAGTTCTTTCACGGGCGGTGCAGTGATGGGGCTTGAGGGCATATCCTCACTTCCTGGAGGCCAGAAAAGGCAACAACATATTTTCCATTGTTTCATGCCTATGTTGTGAAAAAAAACATATGCGTGTCGTTTTCTTCTTGTCTGTCCTTATCTCTCACAAATACCCGCGGTAGGCCAACATCAAGAATCTTGTTTTGCAGACATTTCCTACTAAAATGAAAGACTTTCGCACAAAGGACCGTTTTTCCGGTGTTCCAAACCCTCACGGATGGTCATGTCACCCTCCCCTCCACATGGGCGGCTCGCGGCTCGGCCAGGTGCGAGCCCGCGAAGCGGCGCTTTTACAATTGGAGCCGCTGGAGCACTCAGAGCCGAAGCGGGATTTGGAGGGAAGCGAGGTGAAGTCCAATTCCGTCGACCGAACACAACACTGAGGGGTCAAGGTGTGCTTGGTTGGTTTCTCAAGTGAACCTCCTAGGTATAAATTCTCGTAAAGTATTGGCTTCCCCAGTAGGTGTACATCGGAGTTTGTTTGACACTGAAAAAAGCGAGCCTGGTCGCCTCGTCGGCCTGTGGCACTGAACGACGGGTTTTTACGGAAACATGGGCACCGAAGAACCCTGCAGACGGACTGCCTGCGGACTGGATATAGCCTCAGCCTATACTCATAGGCATTCATAGGCTCACTCCTGCAGTCGTCCTGTGCTTTCTTTTCTCATCCTTGCACCCCTCGCTGGCGCAGTCGCTTGTCGCAGCAGCGAGCCGAGAGCACTGGCTACGTGAAGGCCACTCTGGCGCAGTTTATGCATGTATAGAGACGAATGCGAATACATCCTTAAGATTCCTTAAGCGACTTTCGCTTTTTGTGTCTGTTTGCCAGTCCACTAGAAAAAGGTCACTGTTGAATGTTGAACAGCCTTGACATTGGCTGGTGCATTGGTCTCATGCAGGCGTTGCCCGCACCCTCTGCGTGGAACTTATCGAACGAACGGAGCATCATCGACACGTCTTTCACAGGATGGGAGATTGACTGTACAGGCCCCTTTTGAGGCAATGCCTTTGAGTCCATGAAGCAACCTTTCAGGATGAAACATGATGGAACCATCCCCAAATGAGTGAGGCCATCTCCAGTGAGCGCTGGCGGCAGGCTGAGGGGAGGGACGAGGACCGGGACGAGGAACCACAAGACCTGCCGGTGCTTTTGGGGGTGTCCCAACTGCACCGTGAACATCGCGGCTTTTGAACGCTTCTGGGAGTTGTGGAGTTGACCATATGGTTGTGCATTTGACATCTGGGACACTTTACACCAATGGGTAGACTGGTCTATTTTGTCTTCTCCCAGGGTCATTTGGGGGTCTCACTATTGTAGCACACACCCCATATTAGTTAAGTATAGCTTGTTGGAGGAATGATTCGAGCTTTGCAGGCCGAAGAGGATCTGGAGAAGACGAAGTCCAGCTTGGCATCCCTGAAGACGGAGGCGTGGCGAGGAAAGGCCGTCGGTCACGGGAGGTCGGTCACGGGAGGTCGGTCACGGGCTGGTCGGTTCATTCGCATCCTTAGCATCCTTAGCTGTCTCAACTCGCCTGATCATTGCCACCTCGCCCGAGCTTTGATCCCATGTCCGCTCCGAAACGTTTCGGGAGGACGTGCATCCGTTCATTCCGTTCATTCCGTTCACGGTCGATGTGTGTGGACACGTTTGTGATGAGACGTGAGATGTTTCGCTTGACAGGCTGTGACCCAGAGCAGCGCCATCCATGGCATGACCGAGCAGTACGAATCCGTGCGGGTGGCTTTGGGCGTGTGCCCGGCCTGCTTTCAACACAGGATCGTCTGCCGGAACTGACCCCACATGGCACCGGTCAGTGACGGTGAGCTTTGGTACCGATGTGGGACCAAGGGCTGTTTTTCTTTTTTTTGTGAGCTGAAAAGTCCTAAGAGACATGGAGTTGCTCAGAGCTGCCATAGTAGGCTGTGTGTGACCAGTAGTAGTAGACATGGAAAAGGGTGTAGTCTTGCTGACCACCTCAGATTGAGGATCCCAACATCATGGCAAAACTGGCGCTCCACCACTCATGGTACTTTGCTGTTGTGCAAGTTGGATAAGCACCAAGGAAAACGTTGAACTTGAGCATTTCATGGTTTTTCTGCATCATGCTTGCCGGAAAAAAAGCCGCCAGGCCATGCAAAGTGGCTTGCTGGAGGTCGTTGCCGCTGCACCTGTTCAGATTGGTAGCAAATGTGCCCAGAACGTAGCTGCAAACTTTTTGGCTGCAGCAAGATGCCACAGTTTTGATTTATCCCAGTTCACTGGACTGTGCCATGAGTGAACTGGAAGAGCTTGCAGCGGAGGTGCAGCAAAAGCAGCTGAAAACCACGGAGGCCATTTCGAAGGATGGTGAAAGCGTTTTTGGTCTGGGCGGTCATCGGTTTATCGACACGAGGGCACTGCCGCAATTCATGTTGTGGGCCTTGTTTTGTGAACCCAGGATGAATGAGGGAGTTGCTGGCCTTCTGGCAATTATGTTAAGATTGGGTGGATTTCAGTGCTCATGACGGGCGCCAGCAATCGTCACGACGTTTTTTGTGTTTGGAATGCTGAAGACCGGCACCGTCAGTGTGCCAGGTTGAATCCTTGGTGACCCAAGCGCGGCAGGAGCACGCCGAAATGCAGCAAAACGCGTGGGATGTGTCTACCGTTTCAACGTTCTGTTGGACTTGCACTCCCTGGAACTAACATGGAAGTGGATGCCATGGCCCCGAAAGGAAGACCATTTTCCTTTGCAAACAGGGGGGTGAACTCCACGTAACCATGTTAATTCCAGGGTGTGTACTTGTAGAGAGACATGTCAGGTGTTTTTATGGGTTCTGTGAAGGGCAGGCTCTTACCGCAGGTCTGCCTGTTGTCTCATTTCTGTCCCAAGGTGCTTTAAGACTTTGGATTCCCTCCCTGGTGTCAAAAAAGGGACAACCTTGAGAAAGACAAGCGAAAGAGCACAAATGAGAAAGAACTTCCGCAGCTTGAGGTCAGATTTCGGAGCTTCGACGGGATTCGTCGGGAATCCCCCCCGCCACTTTTGATACCTAAGGGTCCATTGGGTCCATTCCCTCATTCCTTGCGAGTCACACCCGTCGAGAATGACCACTTTCAGGGTTTTTGCCTCAGGAGCTGCACAAGGAGTCTCTCGAGCGGAAAGCTGGTGACCCAGATGACGTCGGTCTGATGACGTCGGTCTGACAAGAACTTCCATGTTGGTGGCCGGATGTCATGTGGCTTTACCTCAAAGAGAGTTGAACATCAGCATAGTCATAGTCTGGACTTCTTTCAATTCCGGGAGGCCGGGGTTCTTGGGGCACCTGCTGAAGCGTTGCCTCAGCAGAATGGTTATGTGAATATTCTGAGCTCTCCGTCCTAGGCTGAAAACCATCAGCTCTCAACGCAGCTCCTGGAACACTCGGAGCGACTTGAGTGGGCAGAACAGTGACTCGTCGCTGGCACCGGGTCGATCGCTGGCGATCGGCGATCGCTCCAAACCAACGGTAGCAGGGGGGAGGACAAACCGCAGCGCCGGCGCCATTCCTCGCAGCGTTTTGGTGACGAAGAATCAGATGAAACCGCGTGTACGGCATGGAAGGTTCCTGCATGTTCCCACCAAACCAGGGGACCATGTTTTCTTTTTTTCTGCGGCCAAGGCAAAGATTGAAGGCCGAAAGTGCCTTGATGCAGGAGGGGACCCAGCGACAAAACATCCAGAGCACAAGGGCCTTAAGGGCTCGGTCTTTCGTTCTATGATCCATTCGCAATGCCCTACCCCAGTTCCTGAAAAGCAACCCACAGACATAGACTTAGAAGATGAGCACTTCCTCTTGTGGGTGGGTGCGACATGTCTTTTTTGGGGGAAGGTATCTAATGAAAGCTCATGGATCAATCTCTGGTGGTGAAGATTTGCAAGGTTTTGAACATGACTTGGGGAATGTAAAGGCATGTATGCCAATTCTCTTTGCACCGTCCTTTCTCTCCCCAAATGCTGTTCACTGCCTGACTGTCCTCTTTGTTTATGAGCATCGCAATTTCGGGATGTTGTAGGATGACATGCGGTCTCAGACTGAACAAAGACACATGAATGTTTGGCAGCTGTGAAGAACAGCAGCGACAATCTATTTCTCATGTTAAGGCCATTTCAAGAGCATTCTTTTGGTCACGGGTAAGCTTCTTTAGGTTTGTAGCGGGTGTAGCAGCTAACTGCTAAGACAGATTCGCCACTGTGAGACCCTTTTGGCGAGCTTGGTTGAATCGCTTGATGCCCGAAAGCCTGCTCACCTTACCTGTGCCGGCCGCCGGTTGGGCCGCCGGCCCTTATCCCACAGCTAAGCTGCAGTTGGAAGGAAGTTCATGTTGCCATTCATATGGTGGCACGCTACTCCAAGCACTGGAGAATGGGGCCTTCTGTCGCAGGACTTGTTGGAGACCAAGACGGAGCTCAAGCGAGAGATCCGGGAACGTGAAGAGGGCCAGTCCCAGGCGCAGGGGGAAACCTTGGAACACGAGTGACGCTGGTGGAACTGGAACTGGGAAGCAGTTTTTGATGGAGTTGGGCCGCTTTTCTGGAGGGTTGGATAGTTTCTGAGGGTCTAAAACCTATTCTTTGGAACCCCTGGTATGTTCCGCAATTTTTTCCCACCCTGGACCGTGATTTGGCCAAGACATGCTCAGGACATGTTGTTTTCTCTTCTTCCCCTTCTTGTGCAAGGAGATGGTGGTATCAGCCCCAGCCCATCCCAAATAGGCTATATCATTGGTGGATTGCTCAGCGAGATCCACCGCAGCCGGACATATGGCTCAACACACGCACCCGCAAACTCCGAGAAAGTATCAAGAAGAACAACACATCCGGGCAGTTTTGAGCCACTTGTTCCCAACCTTCGTTTGGTGGTGGGCCCAATTTGGCCGCCGTTGGCATGCCGGAGGCCAGCTTGCAGCTGCGGGAAGAGATCGGGAAGCGCGAGGAAGCCTTCGAGCGGGAGGTTGGACGGGAGGATAGTGGGACGATGGACGGGAAGTGGAGCTTTGCGATTCAAATACGCTCAGGCTCTTTTTTTTCACAGAACTTGAAAGGAGGAGGCCCATATAGAAGAAGGAAGCGTTGTATGGCGAGCTGCGGTCGAGCTAGGTTCATGTAGCCAAGGTGCCAGAGGTTTTCCAGTGTTTTGGAGGTCGCAATGTGACGACTTTTCATGGACTACATGGTGCATTCTCAACCATGATCTCGGCTCAAAGATGAAGCTGAGAAACATGACACCCAAGAGATGCAAGTCAATCAACGCCAGAGAGTGAAACCCTTAAGAAAAATACCCTCCAATGCAGTGTGTGATGCACATCATATGCATATCATATGCTCCACATTATTTTTGGGGCTGAGCAGCTGCTTCGAAAGCCAGTCCGCACTTCAGCGTTTCTGGGAGAAACTCCCTCCGGCAATCTGCTTGAAACGAGTGTTTCGGGTGCTGATGTCTCCAGCGCGCGGCTTTTATGTCGTAGCAAAGACCAGCCCCTTGGTCCAGGGGTCGTAGCATGCACCCAAGATGGTTGGTTGCAAAGGGAAGATGAACTTCAAGAAAGCGTTAGGGGAAGGTTCAAGCTGCGTCAGAAGCTGCGCCAGCTTTCGGCCCTAAAACGAGCTACCTTACGCTGTACCATTCCCGACCTTCCAAAACCCAGTACTTCAGATGGATTTGATTTGGGGGACGAAACCTTTGGCACTCATGCTTCTTTTAAAACCGATTCTCCAATTCTCCAAGGCTTTAGCGGCACCTTCGAGCACTGTCTCAGCTTTGAAGCGGGTGAGGCGTTTGGCGTTTAGCCACAGATGATGCGCACTGTTTGTTTGTTCTTTTTTTTTGAGGGTTTGGGGTTACCCGGAGACCAAAAGGGGGTTTGGTTCCCCTAAATTCTACACATCCGAGTGCTTTTCTGGCTCCTTTTCCGTGTTTGAAGACATTCTCATGTTTACTGACCCGGAGGAGTTTAAAGTGCTGCGGTGGAGCAAAGCTGGATGGTGGTGGGCACAGAGAGGTGTCGACAACCAACAAGGTTGGGTCTATTCTGCACAGATGAGACCTAAGATGTGCACTTCCTGCCATGAGAAGGTGGGTGATTCTCAAAAGAAATGCACAGCGAAAGATAATGCGATGTTCGTGCGCTTTTTGGTGGAAAGCGGGGCTAGTAGAATCGTGTGTGTTTTCTTTTGGGGGGGAGTTGAATTGTGAACTCTGAACTCTTTGCTGCTGGTCGGGTATTGTCTTGCATGTTGGAGAGACGGTGCATGCATGCTGTGAGGACTTGATATTCTTTTTGTATACACCATAGCAACCAAGAGCAGGATTCACCATCCTGATATACTTTATATACTTGATATACTTTTTGGTCTTTTACATATACATATTTGATTCACCATCCTGAGGTGCAGAATCTCCCTACTCCAGCCCAAGAGCAGGAGATGGCAGAGGCTGAGGCTGCTGTGGTGCCAGAAGTGGAGCCATGGCCACCTTTGCCTCCCACAGAAGACACACCAGTGTGGCCTCCCCTACCCCCAGGTGAGCCACCCAAGAGCTCAAAAGCACCGAGAGAACCTGAGAACCTCTTGGAGGGCGACTATGCACAAACGCTGACCTTTCGAAATGACGGGAAGGTGGTGCCAACAGGTGGTGAAATGAACGATCATGTGCTGCGTCAGTGCGAGTACTACTTCAACTACCAGCAATGGATCGACGGGCAAAACGCTGGGAGCAAGAAGAAGACGGGGAAGGTCACCGGTGATGGGGGTTTCAAACGAAAGCGCTAGGGCCCCGGCCTCCCGCGCGGCGGCTTCCGCGAACTGGCCGCCACCACCGGACGAATGGGGTTCTCGGTGAACGAGAATCCGCCGACCTGGGGGGCCAAGATCAAAAGGATGTTCGCAGTGCTGGACTTGGTGCTTGTTCATGAGGATGGCGCTCGGAGGATCCCACGTTTTGCTTGGGGCCCGCATCTGTGTTTTTTTCTGGCCTCGGACCTTGTGGGTGGGTGGTGCTTTTTCATGAGGCATTTCTCTTACTGTCCAGACGTCATGGAATCCCTTGAGGCAATGTCAGGGTCCCCCGAAACTGACCCATCGGACGATTGGCCAGGCACGTTTACGTCTTGATGGCGAGGAGCGCGTGGAACAGAAGTTGCAGGTCTCCTGTCATGTTTTCAAGTTCAGCTAGGAATCTCTTAAAGTGTGACAGGGAAGAGATTTCCCTAGCCGACTTGGATTCTATTTTCCTTCCCTTCCTGCCAGAGTGGTTGGGTAGTCCCCTTCCTTTGGAGACAAACCCAGATCATTACAGGAGATACAGACTTGGAGGCTACTAGCACAAATTGAAGTGCACAGCTGCAGAGGATTCTACAATCCACTTGCAGTACTTTTCCATTTATATAGAATTGGGTTGTGTGTCGTTCATTTCGAGCCAACAACCTTTCGTTGTAGCACAAGGACCAATTTGATTGACATACAGTGACATACAGTTTATAAACCCTCGCGCTACACGCAACGGGAGCGCCCAAGTTTGAGAGCTTTGACCTTTTTTGACACAGACAGATGAAACTGAAGCCAGGGTCCACCTCCGTTTGGAGTCTTTCAGGAGACATACCAATCTGTGAGAACTTTCAAAGAACGTAGAGCAAGGACGGTACTAGGAACAAAGGGCATCGCTACTAGGAGCAAGGACGCCACTAGGGGCTCCTGGCCTTACTACTAGGAGCAAGGACGCTACTAGCCGTGGATGAAGCACAGCATGGGCGGTGTGAATGAAGGCTGCGGTGCGAGAAGAGCGCAGGCAGCGAGTACAGTTTGGCGCCCAAGGAACAGCAAGTGCTTGTACAGGAACCCGAGGAACATTCTGAGTTCATCCAGTTGTGATCTGGCAACTTGCAAGATATCCCAGATTTCTATTCTCTTTTAAACATACATTGATCCTTTTCCTGTGAATTTTGTTGGCAGCACTATTGGCTGACCTTGGACCCCCCCTTGCAAATTTGCGAGGTCGGAGTTGCGCTTCGAAGGCCTGAAATCGAAGTCTGGTCCGTTTGCAAGGAAAAGCAGTTGTGAACTGAACAACCTTCTGACTGGTCCGAATCTGTTCAGCGACTGCACTTTGGACCTTTCGGCCCTACATGCTGCATGCTGCATACCGCAGGGGAGGACAAGGGGAGCGGCACGCTGATCAATGTCTCCGCGATGGAGGACCCGTTCGTCTCCTTCACGGGCGCGGCTCCTTCGGCTCCTTCGAGGTGCTCGTTCGGCTCCTTCGGTGCTCGGTTCATCAGCTGATCATCCGGGTTCATCAGAAGGTCAACTGTGAGATGACTGAAGGTCAATTGGAGGGAAGTCGTCAGTACAATGGTGATGGCTTCAGATGGAATCAAAGGACACCTCAGGCATATGAGTGCTACCTATAGGGGTATAGTCAGAGTCCTAGGGGAGGTATCCTAGACCCTACCCTTTGCCACCTTTGCCCATACCCATACATCCATGGGCATACTACCTTTCCTTTCCATAGGATTCTTTTATGCTTTGTACTCCCAAATGCTAAAGTTGTTGCGTATGATTCATGTTATTGGCTCCGCTTCAGGTTTTTGAGAAGTCGTTGCGAAGCCGGTGTCCCCTGCAATTTTGCGTCCGGGAGCGGACCTCACCACGTTCGCAAGAAGGTCGACCATCGGGAGCTTCTGCCGTGCCCACAAACCCAACAACTGACCTAGAATGGTGCAAGAAAGGCGAAATGGATTTGCCAAGGCCTCTGCCAAAGACAATAAATAGTGTGATCCCTTTCTACATGTTTTTCTTCTATTTTGATTAGGTATGCAGTGCTCCATAGCATGATACCTGATGGCCTTACCCAAAACATCTGCAGATTTCCCCCCGGATCACGGATCCTGCCATTTTGAGCCTTCCAACCACTTCATCACTCCCAGGAGCAGGGCCGTGTACGCCAGCAGCTGCTGGACCTCCAGGCGCGCGTCGCCTCCTCGGAGGCCCGGCAGAAGACGGTGGAGGAGCGCACTGCTCGGGCGGCCCAGCTTGGAATGACATGGTTAAGCCATGACAAGCCTGGGGTGGGAAGGCGACCTCGAGATGCTTTTGGGGCCAAAAAAGATGCTTTGCCGTTCGAAGATGCTGCCTGCCCCAAGACCCTGCACTGAGGTGAGTATGCTCGATGCAATCATGAACGGGCTGATGCACGCATCTCATGAACCTGCTTGTGTCGCAAGTGGAGACCATTGGACACACGCCTGGCACAGCGAATAGGTTTCTCTGCAAACTGATTCTGATTTGGCTGTCGTCCATCTTTCACTTTGTGACAGCTCATGTTTTGCAGGGCCACCCGCAGGTGGACGATTTAAGTTACTTTCACGTTTAATGGGCTGAGGTCCAATGAGGCATAGCGGCAAGAGGACAGGATGGGTGAAAGGGGAACCATTTTCAGGAGGCACAACTATTGTAAGAGTGGGCCCGCACAATTTGGGTAGCTGATGTTGGCTAAAAGGCGGAGGACCAATTGCAAGGCTTATAACTGTTGTTTTCTTAGAACCAAACACTTGACCCGTGCAATTTTTTGGGGCCAGCATACCAACGGAAGATTAATGACGTAAAAGTGCGCGTGAACATGTTGCCTTGCCATACCTTGCCAAGAAAGCCACATCTCCATCTCTCGCCAGGCGCCTGACTTTTCCAATGAGAGAGCTTCTTGTTTGACAGGATCACCCAAGCAGTCGGGACCTGCAAATTTGAAAGGGTGCACAGCAAGAAATGCCTGATCCCTGCGAAACAACGATTGAGCACTTGAAATCGGCGATGAGCAACTTGGTGACAGGCCATCCGCTCGTCTCAGAACATCTATTCCTTGAGATGAAACCAGGGGACTTATTTGAGGGGTGCTCTACTACGGACCTTGATTCTTTCGAATTCTCTCAGATCCTCCCGCCATGAGAAGAGCGATGATGAGAAGAGCGCAATTCGTCACGAGTCAACCTCTGATCTTTTCATGAGGCCTTTTGCAGGGGGGCCGCCTCCGTAGGGGCATCTCAGCCAGCGAGGCTGGAGCCAGAATTCAAAGCCTGGAGCCTGGCAACGTTCGAGAAAGGCAAGCACCGACGAGAACTCAAGCACGGCACACTCATTTTGTTGCACTAGAACCTCAACAAAGGTACATGTACGGGGCTTTCACCCTTGTTTTTGAACAGCGCAAATGGTAGGTTTCACCATCCCAAGTGACCACTGGATTTTCAGGGCTTTCATCTTTCTTTCGGCATTTGTCCGCGATGAGTCACCGCTTCCTCGATGGGTCACCGAAGCCGTGAAATATATTTGTCGACAAGTCTGGCAAGTGAGCAGAGTTCACATGGCCCGTCTTCCCACGTTTTTTGGTGCGCCGGGCTCAGCATCGCCGGGATCCAACATCATTATTCCATCATGTTTAATTTGGTGCGGCCGCTGCAAAGTCTTCCTTGGCAGCGCGGACATCTCTGCCGTGAGCTCAGCATTCACCAGATGTACACGTGCGGAATTCATCTCCCGGGAATAGCATCGACTCACAGCGGAATTTAAAGTTGTGATTTTTTTCTCATGTTTTCTTGAAGGCTACCGGCTAGACCGAAGGCTGCTTGATGTTTTCTCATGGTTCTGAGGCGGCTTCTCTCGGATCCACCGATCCGGGTCTGGAACTTTGGAAGAGTTCGGCGAGCTCAGTGGTGGGAATCACTTTTTCAGTTGCACCGCAGGTTAATCACTAATCACCAACCATTCACAAGAAATGTTACCCCTCATTGCCGAAATCTAAGATTGATGGTCAAGATTGACCAGGACATGCAAGAAGCATCTTAAGGAATCTAAGAGATCATCGGGTGGTTCCCAAAGTCATCCTTGTCCCTGATCTCGTGCTTCTGCTTCCAATCTGTGTAGATCGTTTCAGGGCTCAAGGACCCAGCGGCCAATTCGACGAAAAGAACTGCGGCCAGTTCGGAGCAGCCGAGCAAAGCACCATCTCAGAATGGATTTCTTGAGCCCGTCACCACATCATGTCCTCCAATCCAATCCGTCCCTCTTGACATGGTCTTGGTGAGCAGAAGCCACCATTTGCTTTAGTTTCAGCGAGAACAAGTCACCCTCACCTCGCTTTTCACCCACGACCCACGGCCAATAAGAAGGTTCCACGGCCTTTCTTCGTCTCATCATACCAAATGCTCCCGCTCGCGCGCATTGCTCGCGCTTGCTCGCACCGCGCAGTCCTGCGACACCTTCCGCACGGCCACGCTGCCTTTGCTGGCGAAGTTCGGCATCGAGGAGCAGCTGAGTTTCAAGGTGCTGCGGGGATTGGAGCCGCCATCGGAGCCGCCATGAGCCCCCGGGTCATTTGAAAGGACAGGTGGAAGCAACAAAGGGAACCACTCGTTTTGTGAATCGAGCTTGGCACAATGGTGGGATTACCATCAAAACCGTCAAAATCATTTGGTTGAATGGAACTGATGAGAACCACTACCCTTTTTTGTGGCCACCTGGTAAGACAATCTCCTCCTTCCTGTCATAGATGCTCCAATGAAATTGACATACAGATCGCCGAAGGAATGTTTTTGGCAGGTGCTCGTGATGGCTTTGCTTCAAATTGTGATCAGTTGTGTCCCGACCCATGCAAGCACTACACACGGTAGACCTTGGAACAGCCTTCGGAGATCTTCCCAGTTTGATCGGATCTTCCGATTTTAGAGCTCCCCTTTCCGTCGGGACCCGTCCGTGGAGCCTCCGGAGCTTGCAGATCTTGAAGCGTGGCGCACCTCCTCTGGGTGGTGGAGAGGTGATCTTCAGCTGCCCCATCGTCAAGGTTGGGGGACGCTCATCCGCAGCGCAGCCGCAGCCGCGTCCGCTCCGGCTTTGCTTCGCGCCAGCACCACTCTGCAGGCCATCCAGCCGATTGAGTTGTTGAACGAGGGAAAGGCCGGGGGGATTCAGCCACAGCATGCGTTTTTCTTCTTTTTTGCCAAGGGAAAGATGGTGCGTTCAGTGTTTTGTGAGGCTGAAAGGGTGCATACAGGGTTTGGTCATGTTTGGTCAAGAATCAACTAAGTGACTAAGTGGGATTTAGTCTTCCTGCCGTGCGAAGGCTCGAAACGTAGCTTCTCTTGAGTGCAAGGGAGCTAATCTCAGGTGCCATTTTTACTTCCTTGGAACTTTTCGATCTGATTTCTGCTTTGCAGGTGAAACGTGTTCGCGGCGTAGCCTATACCACGAAAGTGAGTCCACAGGCAGCCTGTTCGGGGCGAGGTTGGAGTTCTCGTCGCGCCCTGACGTTGGTCGGCAAACACGGTCTGGGCACCCTTCCAAGCATATGAAGAAGCGGCGCCTTGTTTTCCAGTCACTCATGTTCAGCTTTGATTCTGGATGTTTGTTTTTCCACACCAACTTGAAGACCTTTCACATGGGAATTACGTCAAGTATAGGCCCTTCTGCATCCTTCTGCACACATGCTTCCAGTTTTCTGTTGAGCTTGAGCCCGGTCGTCGGTCACATGCTGCTCGACAGCACTTGTCAACAACTCTACGAACCGCAGATCTGGAGGATTCACCAGGCCAAGGCACAGACACATCTTTCAGTGAGACAATATGAGACAATGGTCCTTGATCCTCGCCTGTAGGTCAAAACCCGGGAGCCCTTTAAATTCACTCACCCTTGAGTTGACCTCCCTGGCAGTCTACTCTGCTCATTTTCAGTGGGAAAAACCCGCCGTGTCCGGACGCTCCTCAGTTTGCCGCCCGGATGGTGGACGCCGCGCGGGGTGTGCTCAACGACTTCCTCCCAGATGTGTGGGTCTACACGGACCACTGCAAGGCGATGCTGGGCCGTGTGTTCGTTGAATTGGCGTACCCATCTGGCGTACCCAGAGGTATATGATCGGCGGGTTCTCCACACTTCAGGTACTTAAAACCTAGCACTGTCAGGAGCACACATTCGCGTCTGAGTGTGTGGTATCTCCGCTGTTACGAGCGGTCAGAGCACAGTCAGAGCCGATGTACTGCCTTCAATGATGTCATGTGAGAAGGGTATTCTGCAAAGCCTCCTCCATCTTCGCAGGGCGAGGCTTGTGGCAATTCGCCTGGCTATGGTCAGTGAACTCGGACAACATGGAATTTGCTTGGAGGGTACTCTGGGTGTATCCCAGATATTTGGGCCACCCCAAACGACCAAGGTAGAGCCCAAAAGAAACGAACCGTCAAATGAGTTCCACCGTCTTCCAGCCATCGCGGCTTGGGCCCAAGTGGTGTTCTTCAGCCTTGGTGTTATTCACCAAGGTATCTCCTTGGTCGCTGAGACCATTGCCCGAAGTCTCAAGTCCGCGGCTCGGCCCTCCGGTGCACCGCCTTGCTGTCCCGCACGGCGGCACGGTGTCCGCTGCCGGTTTATTCGTGGGCTTGCGCACGAGGTCCGCGGATGCGTGTGCCAGCATCAGTGAAGAAGAGGAGCCCTGCAGTGGTTGGGTCTTGGGGCGATCACCTGCAGTGTATTTTTGCAAGAAATCTGAAGGTGCACTCGCCCCATGAAGCTTTTGAGGACACATCTTCTAGAGTCAAAAAGGGCCTATTCGCTCATTCGCTTCTCTCGTAGAGCCTAGAGCTTCCCAGCTTCCAAGTGCTTCTGCGGTTCGGTTTCGATTCAGTGACTTTGGGTGTCAGGACTCGTCTGGGGTCACTCGGTTTTCAGTTCGGGGCGAGTTCAGGAGATGAGCCCAGAGTCGGTGGGCACCCATGCAGCCCAGCGGCTCTTAGCAGAGATTGACCTGGACGGTGTGGCCGGGGACCCGGGACATCGGAGACTCGGGTGGCGGGGACCGGAGGAGAGGTGGTCCAGTCGGTACCGGTCCACCGTCTAAAAATGGTGGATGGGGGTGATGACATGCCATGTAGGCAGATGCTCAAGGTTGACTGGCCCTATCTTGGCTTAGTCAGAGTAAACAGATTGCAATTGGAACACGGGGACACGAATGGACTCACATGAAAAACACACGAACGGACTCACTCACGGACTCACTCACCCGGAGTCGTGGAGCCTTCTTACTTCTATGTTTTCGGAGTCGCCCGCACGGGTCATTTTTTCTATCAACGTTGGAGTGGAGTGGTGGTTGGTTCGATGACTGGACTGGACACACGTTTGTCATCAGATTGGTGGAAAACGGCGTGCCCCTAAGCTCCAAGAGGATGTGTCTTCGCCCGGCTTCTCTCCAGGAAGAGCCTTTTTGTTGGTTAACATGTTATACAAACGGATATCACAACAAGCCTTCAAGAGGAGCTCTCTCTCTCTCTCTCTCTTTCAGTGCCACTTAAGTGTGCTCCTCCTCATGCGCAATACTGCTGAAAGTGGGCAGCATTTCAGAAGCTTAGTTGTCCGAGACAATGTCCTCTAGGCATGTTACCCCGTTGTTTTGGCCGTCTTTTCTTCCGTCGTGTTTGGCTCAAGATGGTGAATTCTCACCATGGGCTGACGCGACGTCTCTGAGGATGCCAGTCGGAGTGCCCAGCAACATCCAGCAACTGGCTTTGGGACACATGTCCAACCGGGGCAAGATTTTTTTTCCCATATTGTTCAACCTCTTCTCCTGTACCCTCCTTGGCCCTCCTTGCTCTTTTTCACACGTTCCGCAGACGAGTCAAGCTCCGATCCGTCTGGCGGTCTGGCTCCGCGTACCCGACGCGCCGGACGGTCTCTCGTCACCAACTATGTGACCCAGGCAGACTTTGAACCAACTATGGTATTGCCAGGCAGGGTGAAGCAGCGAACCAACAGGACGAGTGGACCGTTCTTGTGTACCAGGACCCACAGTCGGGGTGGTTAATGGACACCCCTTGACCTCTTAGGGGCATTAATAGACACCCCTTTGGGGGGGCCCTGGTATTTGTTTCTCATCATTTTTTTTAAATAGAAGGACGGTTGGAAGGTTGGAAGATGAAACCGAAGGCGAATTGGTGTATGCCCTTCCCTGTACCTGTCAGCTTGGTGGAAAGTGGCGACTCGCCTCACCTGTGCAGTCAGCGTATCGGCAAATCTGCATTCAGCACTCAGCCAGACATTTGTTTCACACTGTTTTTGGCATCTAGAGAACCTCAGGACACATGGACACATGCTGCCTGGACACAAAGCTGATTCTTTCATACCAAAAACGAAAAAACAGCTTTGACTCGATTTCCCTCTGAAGCCGATCCCCTCGGCCAGGTGATAGTGACCAGTCTGCTACCGTCCCCGGAGTTTCTCCCAGGAGCACAGCGAAACGGAGTTTCTCCCCGCCTCGGTCGGCCATCGCCCGCCCTTTGCAACTAGTAACAAGAAGCTACTAGGAACAAGTGCATCGCTTCTAGTCACAAGTGCCTTAGAAGCGATGCACTTGTTCCTTGTTGCTTCTTGTTACTAGTAGTAAGGCACTTGTTACTAGAAGCGATGCACTTGTTCCTAGTTTCTCCCTGTTGCACATCTGTTTCCCAAGATGGGTTGGGCCCCTACACCCTGAGCAGCATGGCCTGCTTGGAGGGTGGGTGGGGTGTTCCCGGATGGATTTTCCCGCCACCCTTCTGTCACGTTCTGTTTAGGCGTTTCATGGCATCGACCATCGACCGTGTGAAGGGTCGAGTGATCGGCGATCCGCTTCCGCTCTGAGTCCAACTTTGGGCCTCGGGTCGACACGGTTCCCGTGGCGACATCCCCTGCTTCGACATGGGTCAAACAACGGGAAGGCCTCAGAAACTCTTGGCACATCAAACACCTTATTCTTTCACCTGGTTTTTCCGTTCTCACCTCCATTGGGAGGTGCCTCCTCGTGTTTCGGCCGGACTGGCACGATCCGTGGCCAGTGTCGACGCCCCGTGTTTCGGTGTCTCGTCCCCGGCTGTCCGTCGAAGCGACCGGTCCGTCCCGCGGCAGGAGAGAATCGAGAGAGAAGGAACACGTGAAGGGCCGGGCATCCGTCTCAGCCTCGCTGAACTCGGACACCCGAGCCCAAGAGGCCAAACGGTCCGGGGCGCCCGGATCGAGCGGGTCGAGCGGTAGGCGGTAGGCAGTAGGCAGTAGGAGCTAGTAGGCAGTAGGCATGTATCTCAGGGAGTCGTCCCCTGTTTCTTGTTGGGGGCTTGGAGTTGAACCTGCTCAAATAAGTGGCCATAGGGATTGGAACAGAGATTTTTGAGAAGCTAGTTGATCACCTTGCGACTGAAACAGGAATGACATGAGACCCTTACTGCTGTTCCATCTCGAAGACTCAACGACGAAGTGACAGCCACTAGCCGCTAGCCACTAGCTGCTGTCACTCCAAGCTCCAAACACTTTCTGATTCACAAGATTCTATGTCTCCCTGGTGAATCTTTCTATGCCACCTTTACGCTTCTGCCGTTTGCGCTTCTTCCGCGTCGCTTATTCCGGATGTCGCTTCCGGAAGCAGCCCATGCTCCGAGGAAACGATCCTTTGGGCTCTGTGCAAGTCTTGGAGGTGCTGGGTTCGTTCGCGCCGTTCGCACCCCGTTGCGCTGTCCGACCGACCTCAGGTCGCCCGTCGTCCGCTGGGGTTGGAAGATTTCGAACGGGACGAAGGGACTCGATCGAAACGGTGGGAGGAAGAACTTGGGCGGAAGAGGACCTTGTCATCTGGAGTGCGTGGAAGGCGTTCCTGGCAAGAAATTCTTCCAGACCCGAATTGTGAAATGGCAGAATCAGTGATTTGTTTGCTTCCAGCCCATATCAGTTGCTCACCTTTCTCTCCCACTGACATTCTGCCAGTGATTCACCCAGACCACCCCAGCACATGGTCCTTTACTGCCGGGTCCTTTTTCTTCTTCGGCCTCTCGGACGCTGGAGGTGCTGTGAGCAGCATCCGAATGAAGTTGGCCTCGAGTCGTCCGGGGCTGAAGCCGAGCCGGACGTCGAAGGTGAGAAGCTGAAGCCGAGGCTTTTCCACACACCGTGTACCCACTAGCTTCTTGCTACTACTAGTAATGGCCTCCAACCTACCAGCGATGGCCTCCAACCTACTAGCTTCTTGCTGCTGCTTAGTATGGTGTTACTAGTTGCCTCGGTTGAAGAGATTGTGAGGAGATGTTCCCTTTTGCAAAGGGGGCACTGTCCTTTGGTCCCTTTCTTTTAGCGTTCTGGAGTCGATCACATACGGGTTGGTTTATTTCAGTTGGAGTGATTCCCCTGTAGTTTCTTGATGTATCTTGCTTTCCTAAACTCTATCTACTCCTTGGCACGGGTCTCACCTGAGGATGGTACAGCAGCCCTTTAGCTGTGGCCTTGCGTGGTGGCCTCGGTTCGTGTGGCGAGTGGCCTCTACCATCGATCGGTCCAGTAGTGGAGATTTGGCGCTTCCCCAGGCCCGAAACCGATGTGTTGGGGCATGTGTTGGGCCACTCACCTTTCGGCCTTAGAACGGCGCAATCTCGCAAGCCAAGCCATCAAGCTGCGAGACGCACGGTCCCGCCGCACCTAGTCTGGACTCCAAGGCGGCATGATGCAGGGCAGGAATTGGGCCATCCTCATGGTGGGGAGCCCAAACTCGACCGAGTTCCCTGGACCGACGTGAATCTCTCGGCGTTTCGGAGCCTTTCGTCACAAGTAGCTGTACTAATTAAGTAGCTACCATCCTATAGTGTTTTACATGTCTCTTCAAGGCCTCTAGAAGGCCGACAGAATCTTTGTCCAGTTTATATTGCCTTGATGTTCCTGACTCCCTGGAGAAGAACGTCGAAACTGCTTTCCTTTCCTGCTGAACAATGTTTTTCCCTTTTCAACATGGATTTTATGCTTACAGTTTGCTTTTGTAGTTGACACGGGAACTGACAACAAGAAGGTTCTCTTTTCGAGCGGCTTGATGACAAACCGAAGTGGGCACGAAAACACCCGGCCAAAGCTGCAGCAAGACTCCTACTCCTGATTGGAAACACCCTCTTTTGATGATTGAGTTTATTCTGCTCCCTCAATCTAGACAAAGAACACGATTGAAGCAGACTGGACCTCCAGATGCAGCACTTTGATTCACTTTGGGTGGCGAACACAAATGCACAGTCGTCATTCCTTTTCGTTCGCTTGTGTCAAAGTGTCTCTGATCACGTGCAGGTCATAGCCTTGCTGCTGGCATTGTTTATGCCGGACATTTGGGTCCTAGCTGGTGTCAATGACACTATCTTTATCGACGTAGCTGGAGCCCAAGTGTGCATCACGGTGAACCATTGAAAGTTGGCCCTTTCTCAAGCTGGTTGAGAGGGTTTCATTTGCAAAAGCACGGAGCAGGGCCTGCAACATCCGACACCACTGCGGCCCCCGCTACCTCGCGCCACCTGTCGCAAGGTTCTCACCCTCGTGATGGCACTTTTTACCCTCGAGCTACTCATTCTCAGCGTTGTTGCACGCAGCTTAGTACCTCTGTGGCCTCGGTGGGTGTTGAGAGACCACCCTGCAGTTGCTGAATGAAGCAGTGCACCGCGACGGGTCAGTCAATGGTGCCACCAGATGTTAGTTTAAACATTCTTAAACAAAGTAGCTATCTCATGTGTGATGGGTTCAAGGGCGAGCTTCATATCTTAAAGATCTTAAAGAAAAGGCATGGTGAGTGGAGAGTGGAGAGTGGAACAACGACGGATAGCAATTTGCCCCATCTCGGTTTGAATCGGAGCGAACAACAGCTGTTGAAACAGCGTGTCACTCGCGTGTCTTGTGGTGCAAGATTTGCGTCCAACGCGCCAGTGTTTGGACCACCTGTTTGGACCACCTGTTTGGACCACCGCGGTTCATGCCATGTCGACCCATGCCATTCCGACCCGAGCGGTCGTTCCAGGGCTGGCTTGAGCTTCCATTCCGCGTTCGGAACGCCAGGATTCGCACTACATCTTGAGCTTCTTTCAGCTCATGGACATCTTTGGCCCTTTGGCCGGTGACACGAAAGAGGAAAGATACCGTGAAACGAAAGAGGAAGCTCAGTGAAAGAGGAGTCAGGCCTCGGTGGGGGCTGCAGAGTGGCCATGAGGTGGTCTCCAGGATCAGGTGGTTGAAAGGCAGTTGAAAGGCAGTTGCTGTAATGGTTTGTATGCTTCACATAGTTACGTCGAATGGCGAATGGAAACAGCTACAACCTTGGGCTTAGGGTACATCCTCCAGGCGGAGTAGGATGTGGTTGCTTCGGTCCCACATCGAGAATCATTGTTCGCACCCAAACCCTGGAAATTGGTCTAGACATGTTTAGACAGGCTAAAGAAGCTACGAACGGGGCTCCTGGCCTTACTACTAGGAGCTACTAGGCAAACGACCGCATACGCGTACACCGATACATCCGCCGGATCGGCGGACCGGCCCCGGTGGGTCCCGCGGAACGCCTTTTGCTGCCAGTCGCTTCGACGGTGAGTCGACGAAAAATCCCACTTGGTGCCAGAGAGAGAAAAGGGATGAAAAGGGACTGAGACCGCCAGACATCGGCTCAGACTGGCACTGAGACTTTCTCATAGCAGCCCCCCAGAGCCGAAAGCCTTTCTGACAGAACCCCGAAGCACCATCTGAGGCACCGTCTCGATGATCTTCGACATCTCTTTCATGTTGGGCGTGGCTGCCGACGAAGCCCAAATCGTCGCTTGGCTCGAGGGAAGTTTGGATGACTCCAACACTAGACAGATTCCATGCATTCTGAGCGCAAGGAGTATGCAGGAGTCCATGCATTTCTCGAGACAACGGACACATTTCTCGAGACGACGGACAGGGGTAGACCCCCTTGCGAAGAAGATACTTGACGTTGGCGGGTCATTTGAAGTGGGAGACAACTGAGGCTTCGAACAATGCTGACGCGACAGCGAATCTGATGCTCTTGAGAGCTGCCAGAGCTGCTAAGGCGGCCCGTGGAAAGATGGAGCGATCAGGGATCGACGATGGAGGGAATGGTGCAACTCACCAAAAGAACTACAGGTTTGGATATTTTTTCACCAGATAGCGAGAGATATTGGGGCTCTTCCTTCAAGTATAGGGAATGTGTGCGCTTTCGACCTTGGGTGCTGGTATCGCTGCAGGGTGCCGCTGCTGTGTGCACTTAGGAGCTTGGGTGCTGGTGACGCTGGTTGCCGCTGCTTTGCGCTTGGGAGCTTGGGTCAATGGCCATAAGAGCTTTCCCCTGTTAGTAAGATCAAGATATCGTCTGGTCGGAGAGCTTGAATGCTTTACAATCCTCCATGCGTTTCGAGTATGTTTCACATCGACGTATTAGTCAGATTCCAATTGGACGCATCCATGGACGTATGGAGCTCTGCAGGTTGGTGCTCGTGCAGGGCGGCTCTCCCGTGTGTTACGCTTCCTGCGCTTTGTCCCCTTCTTGGCGGGGGGCGACAAGCAGGATGAGAATCAGTCAGGGCCACAGCGTGCTCAGGTGGACTAGGTAGACCAGACATTACCATGTAGACCTATGGAAAAGAGGTACTGTATTGACATATATGTTTCGACGAATTTTCGATGTTCCTTTTAATTGCACAGATGAATCATGATGAACCACGATGAACCATTACATTTGAATCATATTTGCTAGTCTCACAGCGTTCGCTTTGGTTTCATCAATATGGTTCTTATACATATTCTTATGATTGCCTATGTCCAAAGAATGCATCTCACAATTTGGCTGGTAGATTCTAAATTCTGACCTACACTCTGGAGTTCCTCGTTAACTGTTAACTCTTCTTTCACCTCTCAGGACTGGCATTGCCTCGATGATCTCAGGGCAGTTGGCCAATCTGCTGGGTGCCCGAGCGAGTCGCTCGAGCGATCCGTCACGCCGAAGACCTGCGGCGGTGTCGGTGTCCACCTCGGGCGGCGTCTTCTGGTCCTGGAAACCTCCTTCGACACGGCGTCGAGAGTGACAGGTTTTGCTTCGAACTCTTCAACCACAAAGATCCGATCCATGGAATCCATAGTGCAATCTTATATATATCTTCAAAGTGCCACCCTGCTGGATCCTGCCACACAGGTTTTGGGCTTTGTGATGCTTTTCTCCTTTTTTCTTTTGCAGCGAAATAAGTTCTGCTTGTTTGATCTGGGGAGCGACTGAGGGTAGCAACGAGAGTAGCGTGTCTCACGATCATTTTGGTGATGGCTGAAAGCTCAGATACGTGGGCCGAAAGCGACGCAGGGACCATGAAAGACATTTGGCAATGTCGCAAGGTTGAGTTCAGGTTGAGAGAGAAGGGCACTGGGGTTTTGATCATTTTTATCAAGAGATATCCAGAGGCAGAAGCAACACTTTAGAATGCTGATTGCGGCTGAACACGGCTTTTTTTGCACATGACTTGAAGCTGGTAGATAGTTTGAAGCTGCGACTGTCCTGTGAGCACCTAGGTGATTCCACTCTTCGACATTTGGACATTCCCACAGTCGGACCGAGCCCGCACAATTCTGCTAACACTCCCATGCAGCACACGTGCTATACATGGCCAAGCATTGCTTTCTTTGCTGGGCCCAAGCAGCTCAGTGACTGGATGGCAAGTCAGCATCAACACTGTGTGTGACTTTGATCTATATAGATGTTGTGTATTTCAGCTAAGATCCACAGCAAGCGTGACAAGTTGATGATCAAAATCTTCGGATGTCAAGACTTCTTTGCATGTTTCAATGCGTTTCAATGAGTTTTGCCATCAACGGACATCCCTAGCGTCCACGTTTGAATGGCCCGGGTCCGGTCTGGTCCGGTCTCGGTCTGGTCCGGTTCGGGTGCATTCGACAGGACTATTCACTCCAGACCTGGGTGAATCGCCTCTCAGTGGATGTGGATGAGATGAGGCGCCATCGGTAGGAGGTCCTGGAACGAGTCTGGTCTGTGTGTCGTGCGTGGCATCGTGGTGTATGATGAGTAGATTTTGACGACATGTCGATTTTTTTTGTTTATTTTTGCAACATGTGGTCACGTTCATGGCGGGAACTTCATCGAACAATCTCAATAGGGCAAGAGCCCACCCGCAGGAGTTTTGACCATGGCACACGACGGTCTGCTTGCTGTTCACTGGATTGAAGAACCTGGACAAAACAAACACTTCTCAAGACTTGTGGTGTTACCACCGTGGAACACCACCGTGGAACCCCATGGAAATCAGTATTGGCTATTCGTGAGCAGTTTGTTCCCTTGCTGTCGAATCTTGGAATCTCTGCCGTGTTCGAGCATCGCACGTGTCCTCGGCAAGGTACGATGATTGCATGGCCGAGCTTGGTTTGATGAAGGACAACATGCATCACAGATCCTCAAACACAGCCTGCATGTGGCCTGCAAGGTCCTGAACAAACACCCATCAAGATCATGAGGAATTATTGAGCAGCGCCCATGCTGTGGGGTGGAAATCTAGTGCGGGCATGTCAACCAAATCCAAGGAATTGCGACTTGCCGGAAGCAATGTCTCATAAGCATCTCACCTCCCTCTCCCTCTCCCTCTCCCTCTCCCTCTCCCTCTCCCTCTCCCTCTCCCTCTC